ACTTGTATCCAGACTTGTTTTGCCATAAAACTAAGACCATGCCAGTACACTGTCAGCTTAATAAACCAGCATTTCTCTACCAATAGTGCTGCATAGATGCTCTCATACCCATGTGATAGTTTCATATTCATCTGACCAACCAGCTAAAAAAAAATCATGGGTTTTGAAGAACATTAAGAATTAATCCAACTGCTGCCACGTGACCTAACAGCAAACACTCACTTTATCATAAAGCATTCCTGTATAAGAAGAAATTGCAGGGTTCATTATCTCTTTGTGACAAATTCAGGGGCTTCCTATGAAAGTTCATTCTTTTAGTAAAAAGAGGGGAGAAAAGAATGAAGCTCAGTACCGAGTTATCATCTTTCGGCTGATTGCTGCTATTTAGGTCATCTATATCCCTTGCTCTGCTAGTATAGCTGTGTCAGTCAGAAGGGTCAAATAAGGTATTGCATTTTATACCTTAAAGATGCATGTGCATACAAGAAGTGAGTTTGAACTGGAGCTTTTTACGAGCTGATCAAAATGAAAGAGTAAAAAGGAATTACATGGCTTTTGAAAGGAAAAAGCAGAGCTTTATTTTCCAAGTCCACACAATGAAATTCTGCTTTTTCTTTGTCTGTCATTTGCCCTTGGTTTCATGTCACTTTATAAAAAGGAAAGTTTCTAGCCAGGAGGTACCAGAAGTTCACCTTTTTTCCCTCCATTTTAGCATAAGACTTTTTCTCTCCCTACTCTCACAGAGAGCAATATTAATCTCTGGTAAGTAAACTCTTTTCCATCTCATATTATGAGAGGTGTTCATGTACGTATCACAATTTTGTTTTCTCACATGTAAAATTATTACAATAGAAACTTTGTGTAAACCTTCTATTTAGGTAACAGAAAACAATGTATTTTATTATTTTGCAGACCTCAGTGGTTAATATGCAAATACTGAGGAAAACAATGTTGAGAAGTATCCACAATATGTTTGCAAACACTCTGAAGAGCAGTCCCAGTTTGTACACACCTTTGTTCCTGTTAAGTCAGCATCACAGTCCACATGGGCCAGGACAAGATTTTCATTCATGATTATTCCTCATCTTTTTTTGGTTTTCCTATACCAAAAGAAGCTAACCCAAATGTAACTAGAGACGTAGTATAGTAGTCTAAAATCAAAGATTATATAGTCTTTATGAGTTTATCATGCAAACAATGCGAACACTTTTATTGTGTTTTCACTTTTATATTTTAAACAGCATTCCGGCAGGAGAACAGTCATTTCATGTTTGTATTGTGTGCCTTTATATTTGGGAAAAAAAGTTACTTGCTGTTTCTGTCCTGTCATCCAGCAGCTAATGAGAAGCATGTTAATAAGCTCCTTCTGCTTAAAAGATTTATGCATGTAAGAATTTGGGTAGGTGTTATAAATAGAGCAAATTGTGTGTAACAAGTGCTTTTTTGAAAGAAAAAAAAAATAAAAAAGGAAAGTTTGTGGAAAGTTCCACTGAGAGAGGTCTTTTGGGAAAGAATTGGTCATAAGACAAATATCCTCCCATGGGTTTAGCCTTGCCTGGAACAGCAGGTGTGCTGTGATAATCTTAATAAGATTTCTGCACCTGAAAAAGTTTCCGAATCCTTTTTTTAATCTATTTCCCCTGGTGGCTTTTTAAAAGAACTGTCAGTTGATTTTGCAGCAGTGAGTATTTTCTAACTTGACAACACTGTTTATTGTCTCTGTGTGAAGAGAGTGAAATCAATTTCTCTTGAGTATTTGAGCCCTGGGGTCAATGAACTGAATTTCGATTATGGAAATTACAAGTTACTTACACTTGTTGTCATTTAAGAAAAGCAGTTCTTGTATATCATTATTTTTTGCATTTGGCATTCTGATCACTTCACTGATGTCCATGCAGTGCTCCACCCTAGACTAGTAAAAATCTGGGCAGGCATTGTCACCTGTGTTATCTGGAGGAGACAACATTCTTGTTCGCAAAGCTGGATGCTACACACTGGGAAAATATCAACTCAAATGAGATTAATTTGGTGGCCTTTGCAGAGTGGCTAGGGCCTTTGCTGAAGTCCAGCATTTTTTAGTATGCAGAATACGATGCTCTGTCTTCAACCATAACATAGCAACAATACAAATTACCCATTTAGTGCAAATTGTCCTGGAAGTGGGTACAAGTGATAAAGTAGTTTGTAATAGCATTGAAAGGAAGAGTTGAAAAGTATAAAGTTGTCAACAAGACAATTATGAGACAGACAAACTATGAATCCCTTGCCCTTCTGGGGAGCAGTTACTTCTCAGCAGGGTGGCTCACACGAGTAACTGCTCATCACTGGGAATTAATAACCCAACCCAGAGCATGTACAATAAAGCAGGCCTTTCCTGATGGCCTTTCAATTGCTTAATTTGCATTTGCTTGGTGATTTGAAATATATGTGCAAGTACTAAATATTGTTACAGTGCACAAACAGAAATTAAAACTGGAGCTTGTATACGTTAATCTATTTTCTGCTGAAAGTGAATAGCTATTTAATAAATTATTAATGGTTGTGTCAGGTAAAAGACTGCTGCCTGGAAGGTAGAGAAACCCTTTTTAGGCTCACCTTTCTTTCCTGTCTCCACCATGAAGCTTGTGTCCTTTGCTACCTAGTGCTGCAACTATCAGGAAGTGTTTTAAGTGCCCTCTGGGTGGGAATACATTTGAAAATAGATCCTCTGCATCCTAGGCAATATCCCCTTTCTTTCACTTCAATGTAAAGGAAGGCCTGGAAATTTTCACTGTGTGTACTGTGTTTAAAAAAAAAAAATCAAATGGGGCTGACACTGCTTTTCGTTGTTAAAAGTTCCTATACATCCGTGTGAACTAAACTTTAAGAAAGCTAAGTAAATCCCTTTGTAGGATTTAGGCAGGGAGAGACCTGGTTCTTGGATCCTGTTCATGCCTAAGATCAAACTTGATGTCCGTAGTCAGCAAAGTTAAAACTGAAGTTCCTGTGTGAACAGGTACTCATGAACTTTACAGTAAAAAGAAAGATACCTTCAGGATTAGGCAGTACCTGAGTGGGGATGTATGCTTGCGATTTTTTATTAGATTCATTAGTGTCTCCCATGTCCTAGTTTAGCCTCTCAAATTATTTGGTTCTTTTTCTTTATCCTGCGATCCTGTTACTCAGCTCTTTACTACACAAGCTGTCCTACTGACTTCATGGGAGAGAGCAGAGCAACGCTGCAGGGTTTCAGCTGTCTGAACTCAAGATTGAGGAAATATGGACAAAAGCAGGGGAAATTTACATTAATCCCTTCACTCTCCCATAGATTCATTTCCATGTTATAGTTAGAAATAGCTCTTGGTAAGATAATACATCTTCATTTTCCTTTTTTCCCTCTTGTCGCAATGGTGCCTTGCAATCCACTGGGCCACGCAGCCTTCCATGGTCTGGTGAGAAAAATCGCTGTCACACATGAATGAGCTGCTACACCGAGGTTAACTATTCCTATTTTCTTTTATTGCCCCTCATGCAAAGCATTTAATACTGTATAAGGACCTAGATCAATACATTTTATTGTTTTCCAGTTCTCTTTAATATCAGCGTGGAGTGCTCTACTCACAGTCTGCTGAATGATAAAAGACCATGTACAGTTATTGTTGTTATTGTTGTTGTTACTCTTAAATAACTTGTTACTCTTAAGTAACTAGTTTGAAGTGATACCCATAACTCGGTAGCTGTTTTCGAAGAATGAATCAAAGGGACAGTCCCTAACCTCACAGACAGTGACACTCTTAAGACTCTAAGCAAATGTTCAGGGAGGTCACACAAGAAGAAGGATGAGTGTAGAAATCAACAGTTTTTATTATAGGCTGCTTGGCAAACAAGCATTTTAAGAGGAAATTTAAAAGTGAAATCAAAAGAAAATTTCTCATAAGCAAGATCAGAGACAAGTTTTTTATAGAGTAAGGCACAGAGGTGATTTGAACGATTGACAGAAAGGCAGAAAGCAGTGGGAATATTAGAACGATGTAAGTTTATGAAGCCAAATGGCCAGTGCTCTGCTGGTGTTTCTTAAACCTAGGGCCTCTGAATCACTCTTTTGTCTGCAGTGGTGGGTAGAACAGCACTTCTCCTTTTATGCATGAGGATGCTGAAGAATCATTGCTTATCATCATGTTTGTACTTGCTGTGATACTCTGGGTTGTCCAAAGTAGAAATCACACCCGAGCACAAGCAGTTCTACAGATGTTGGCTAATTTATTGAGAGACATTTCCACAAAGGTTACAGTGTCATTAAAAGACTTTCAGTCACTTATTTGGAAGCACTGCTGACAAGTTGCTTGTGTGACAGAGACAGCCCTGTTTTCTCCTGAGAGGAGTATAGCATGAGCAGCCTCTCAGTATCAAGTTTACTAAATGGATGGTCTTCTGTAATACTTTGGTGTGATGAGTGTTCCATTCAGACCAAGATTAGAATATTGCAGGGTCATTTAACATCCATCTGTTACACTTTTGTCTGTCTGATTCAGTTGCACAGGGTGATTCAAAACCCTTCTCCAAGCTAATGATTCAGGCTTTCAGAGTGCATTTATTAGCTAGACCTCACAAGGGTTTGTGGCATGTCTAAACTCGAAGCTTTAAAAAAATAATTACAACCCTAAAAATGTATTCAATTAGTACTTTTTGTCTGTAGGGCAACTGCAATAGTTTTATGAGAAAATCAAAGCAAAATTCATTATGAAGGTAATTAGGAATTTCAGAATGTCCAGATTGAGTTCAAAGGAAAAGATATTAATTTTGTTATTGAGTCAGAATTAGTGAAAAATTTAGAAATGTGTGTTCATTAAGATTATGAGACTATTTGGTTGTGGGAAAGAGACATCTAACATCTTTTTCGAATTTGGGCTGTGGAAAACGAGGAACACGTAACACAGAAAAAGCAAATGCTCGATTGCCAGCTGTGAAATGGAATGAATAAGACATAACTAACTGTGCTAATAAGTGTGCCATTTGTGCAGCTTCCACAGACGACAGTGCGGCAGAGAAGAAAGGTGGAACTCTTCATGCTGGCTTAATTGTCGGCATTCTAGTCCTGGTCCTCATTGTGGCTGCAGCCATCCTTGTGACCGTCTATATGTATCATCATCCAACGTCAGCAGCTAGTCTCTTCTTTATAGAGGTAAGACAAAAGAAACGTGTGTCACTAGTCTTGTCACTTGGCTAGGATAATTGGGGTCTCCAGAAAATAACTTTCTTAATTAAATTTATAAAGTATTCTTGTGTTTGTAGTATAAGCTTTGAAGGAGTGGACCTACCTCACCTAGCAGGTGATGCTGTTTTGTTCTTAGCATGTTTGTCACTCACCTGCTTCTTTAACTACTATTGCTATTACTTTTTTTTGTTTTTTACACAGGACATATATGTAAAAGATATATCTCAGATACAACTCCACCTCTCTTTCCTATCCTTTGTTCTCCTCACCATAGCATTTTTCCATCAGCTGTCGTGTGTGCTGTCATTTTATTTTGGGACCTATATTTTTTAAATTCTTTTCCTGTAGAAAAATAAAACATTTGCATTCATTAATTCTCCAGAAGAGCTAACTTAAAGTGAGTTTTTAGCTGGAAACATGTGGCAGCTGTTCCATACATTAATTTGTAGAAATCTTTTAACACTTTGCCTCAGAGTGTGGGAAAGATTCTTTTCACCCAATTTTAACATCTAAATCTAGTATCAGAGAGAAACAAACTCTTTAGACCATGATTCATCTGACCTATTTGAGACATCTCCTTTAGGATTGGATAAATTAAGATTTTTCTCCCTCAAAATACATAGCTACCTCATGTGCAGACATCTACATTGCAGATGCTGACATTTAGTCAGCTCAACACCATGACACATGACAGTATAAGAAAGGAACATTTTCCATAGGTGTTTGATTCTACAAAAAAACCTGTGAATACCTACATTTACTTTTTTTTCAACTCAGCAATATTCCTGTAACTTATGATAAGTATAGTTGCTAAACATGAAAGAAAACACTGATTGTTCATAACCCCCACCTGCAATACTGCCTTACTTCTAAGAGCCTGGACACTTTCTAATGGGCAATAGTGAATATACAGAACCATTGGAAGTGTCACTAGGGACGTACCTAGGGATTGCTTAGGTAAAAGCCTGGACTAGGAAGATACAGACATTCATTCTTAGTGATAGCAGTGTGAATTGAAGTGAGACATGAACATGAACAGAATGATCCATCTTTAAAATCATATTATAATAAATATACTGCTTAGATGCAATAGTAGTGACAGAAATCAAAATGAATGGTTTATCAGTATTCCAGGCTCAAGGGATGTAACTGTGTTAACCATTGGGGAATAGCATCCATGTAAACAAATAGTTTTGTTTCGTGTCTATGTGACATTTCAAGGCAATTCGCTATTGATGTAGACAAACAAAACTCCACTGAAGTCCTTGTACAAAAGAGAAGGATTTGTCCATTTCTTTTTTTCCCAGACAGATTGAATTGCTATTCTCTCACTCTAGTAAAAACAAGTTTCTTATCTGCTATGATGTGACTGAAAAGACTAAGTAAATGGCAACAACATGTTTTAAGGAGAGAAGAATACCAAATTAGAACACACATTTATTTTTGTTCTCAGTGTCGTAATGGCATGTTAATTTATTTCATGTATTGATATCATACTCATCTTGCAAACAGTGGTACCTCAATCAGTTTTGTTAAAACCATGCCACTGAGCAATCTTTACGTGGCATTAATCAATCTCTGCCATCAAAGCTAAATGTCTTTTAGCAAGCAATGTAGGCATTTAGAAAAAATAGAAAAATGTGATCTTTCTGTTTAAAAAAAAAAAAGGAGAAATAATCAAATAAGGACAGGAGGAAGTAAGTAAGTAAAAATGAAATTTATGCAAAATGTGGTATAAACTGCATCTTCTTTTGGTTACCAGGAAAATTGTGATACTTGTGAAGAATCAGCCATTTAGCAAGAATTATAAAAAGTTCAAGCCATGAAAGGGTGGCCTTTCCCTGTGAGTGGTAAAACCACTAATGGAGTGGTAAAACTACAAGGGCTGGAGAAAGGGATTACTCTGTATTTCCAAACATTTCAACGAATTCCAAAACTTTAAAGCCATTGTTGGTATCATAAGCTTAGAAGAACAAAATAAGGTAATCAATTCTGGAAATGAAATTGCTTTTAAGAAGGTTAATCATTTAATTTCCAATGAAACTTGTTTGACCATTTCAAGAATTAAAGAGTAGAATGTTTTATTCTTATATTCATCTGTTCTATAGGATATACATGTTTCCAATAGAAAACACCTCTGAGCACCATTAAATGATACCCTGATTGCACTAGTTGGTTTAAATAAGCAATACACAAAAGCCAAGAAAAATTCTATTTATTCCAAAACCAACTATTGTCTTAGAACAGAGTAACAGTATTCTATTATTTTTTTACCCCTAAGGTCTGAAGAAAAAGTTTCTTCTAGTACTTTTGTTCATAGCTGTTGAATATAGTGCATATGTGCAGCCCTACCCGGAACAAAAATAAGTATTTTGAACAAACAGCTTAAGAAGTCTGGAATGCTAATTCTGTTCAATGTGCCCATGATATTGTATCATTTTAAAAGAACATAATCTAAATAGTTCAATACTTTTTCAAAAAGTTCCTCTTTTTGTTCAGTGTATAGAAAATCCAAATCAAAATGCAATGTTTTCCTGTTTCTTCCAGTCCCCACAATATCTGACGTGTTTCATTGTTTAAGTTGGACATTTCTCTGGTGACCTAAAGACAGAATGAATTATCAACTTTAAAAGTTAAGGGAGTTTCAGTCAAAATTACAATGCATTCAGGCTTTCCAAAAGCTGAGAGTAAATGTTGACTGAAGATTAGCTTGCAGAGTGACAGATGAGATGTTGTATGCTTTGGTCTTTTATTTATTCATGGTTATGCCTGTGGTATTTTTGTTCCCTTGAATTTGATTTTATGGCTAGTAATTTCCCTTTTTGAGTTGAGTTACATACCTACTCTTACCTTGAGGAATTTTGCGCATACCCTTGAGTATACTTTGAACTTATTTGTACTGATTTTTGAAATGTAGCATATATGTCAAATAGTGCTCTTCATGTCTTTTTCAACAAAGCAGAAGATTATGTCAGAAATCTGGCTATAACACAGATAGCTACACACAAGTATGCCACAACTTTATTCACTATTCAGTAACCTACTTAGTATACTTGCATTCAGGATTTGAGGTTTGGTGTCCAAGAAGCCCCGACTCCAGTGGATTGCATGCCTGTGATACAGATCATAGCAAAAGTGATATAGATAAATGGAGCTGAATGTAAATAGGGGTAAAGAAATTCCCAGGTGAGTCAGATGGATTTGCTCAAATTTCATTGAGTTGCGGGTCAAACAGCACCTTTATCAGTATTTTATATTTTACTTCTTCCCTTCTTTTTCTTCATATTCTTTTTCTCTTCTATTTTTAACCTTTATTGATTTGCATTTGTGTGTGAACTTTGGCACTGAGAGCAGCTAATGTCCGGAGAACATTTAGCAAATTGAAAAGCAAGGTATGAGGCAAACTGTTTCTTACTCAGAAGCCTTTTACCTGTTTGCACCCAGTTATCTGTGAACAGAAGGGTTGCACATGACAGAAAGAGTTTTCATGTGCCTGCTTTTTTTGTATTTTTCTTACCTTTCTTACTTATATGTTGGTCCAAAGTCCTTTTAGTGTTTGAAACTTACCTCATTGGTCAGCCCAATGCTCTGCCTTTGAGGAACAAAGGCAACATGATCTGGCCACAGCTGAGAAGACGACACAGGAATTGCTGGCCAATATGAAGGTAGGGAGTAAGATGTTGTGATGTCTTTTCCCAGCTGGACGCAGCAATACTGTTTCCAAATGTGCTTACATAAGGCTCAACAACTGCAGAATAATTTTTTTCTGCGGCAGGGGGGTAAAATTCTCTGCGGGTAGGGGATTTTAAGGTGTCTAAACTAACATTGCAAATTGGATCCATCTCAGGCAGTGAGCCTTTCTCTTGTATTCAGCTTATAGGTACAAAACCAAATGCAACTTATCAACACACGTAGACTCAAGCTATAAGGATATCAGTGAATTCAGAGCCTGTGTATTTTTTAACAGTGGTTGTATATGTCTTAATAGTAGTTATGTCACACGCTGAAGAGAAGTGTGGGTGTTTGTGGTTACAAATTATCATTCTTCTGAGTTAAGATCCCATTTTCAGAGACACAGTCTTTGCCTTCATGTTTCCAGCCTCCCTGGAGGTTTTCCAGAACTTTATTGTGCTGATTCAGCTGCTTAGAACCATGCATGTACACTCACACGCACACATGCACATATCTATGCCTTTTTTAGCTGTTTGTTTTACTTCATTTTGCATGTTTAAGCTGTCTAATTTCACAAATCTGTTTTTTCAAATGGCCACACAGAGAGTTGAACTGGTGCTATGGAGCCAGGAGGTGACCTTGGAGAGAAAGAGAGGGAGGATGGGATGAGCAGCTGCAGATCTTCAGCAAATAAAATAATAGTGTGTGATCAGAGCCTGGGGGATCTCGACTCTTCCCAATTTAACTTGAATTATGTCTCTACTAGTAAATTAAATAAGCATGGGACTGTTTTCTAACATAACGACTAACCAGCATGGTAAGGTCTGCATTCCTGTCATTTAACTCTTTCAGCCTCATGATAAAGTGACATGATGCAGACTATTAGTGTGGACTGAGGATGGTTCACAAATCCTGAGCCCTAGCTGGGGTGGTCTGAGGAAGCACTAATTTTGGGGTATTTTTCTAATGATTGAGCTGCATAGTGGATTGTGTTGCAGTATCTGGCACGCAGATCTAGCAGTAGATTTTCTTCTGATTTTGACCTTCTGCTCATCCCTTATCTGCTTAGAGGAAGAAAATAGAAGGAGAAAATTGTCAAAAAACCCAGAGACAGTTCTTGGTTTTTCAGAGCTTCGGGAGTTAATGGTCATTTCTGGCTCACTGTTATACATCTCTGCTCATAACAGCACAACACAAATAAGAGCCATCATTTAACAGCCAGCGCTGTTCTCCATGCACCATTTCCAGGTTTCTGCATTAATGTCACAGATGTAGTGCATGTCTTCAAGGAAATG